TTATAAATATGAGTGAAATGTAAAAGGCGGATATTGCTAAATCCAACATTATTTTGGAACGCTAAATTTGATGTTTCAAAAGTATTCTAATTTCCTACTTTTCGCGGTGACGTAAATTTCGAAAAATGACATGAAAAAGGAGTGAAACTGTCATCACAGGAAAGCTCCTCGCAATAAAATAGATACTGAGCATAATAGATGAAGTATGAAACATATTCACAAAAACGAAAGGTATTCGTAGAGGATGAGAAAATGTTCTGATCATATCCAACTATAAATTGAAGAATTAGCCAATGTCCGTGTTTCCGCCCAAGCAGACAAAACTAGTATCAATGATGAACCATTGAGACAGATAGAAGGCTTGGTTTACATAAGCGGATGAGGATTTAACTTCCGTGGTAAAAGAAAGACATGAGAATAAGGATATGAAGCGACGTTACTTTCCAATATGTCACCTCTCTATCACCATCAAATGATATTGCTATGCATTATTACGTTAATAAAGTTTTGAGCATAGACAAAAGAAGGGATACTTCATTCATATTTCGTGACCTACACGGTACGCTTAAGCGCTCTTTCATAGAAACCTCGGACAAGTTACTTTACAAATTATTACTAATTAGAAAAAACAACCTACCCAAACTCTTCCTCCATTGCCATAATCATTTCAACGTGATCAAGAGAGTCCAGGCCTAGATCCTAAAACAATTCTTCTGAGGCATGTTTTTTTCTGGTAGAGATATGCGTATATGTTAAAAATAACCTTGACAAAATCCGAGTCCATCGTCAGTTTCTTCGGATCAATCTTATCATAAAGGCCGAGCACAAGGAGAATACGATCTTCGAGAGTCTTCTTAGTGAGAGGAGCCTGAAGGGAGAAGTCTTCAGTGGACTTATATGAAAAATATCGAAAAAGTCAATAAATTACAAAGTTTTGAAAATTGATAAAGCAGTGAGAAGCAAGCATAAATTAGAAGAATATAGAAAAATTCAGCTGTTTCGCATGAAAACCTATGAACATGTATGAATACTACCGTTCACGATGATCTAACACCTCAAACTGTACATGATCATCGGGCTAAACCTTACGTAATGAAATCGAAGCTGAAGCACTCATCTGCAGTTCGAACAGAATGCTTATTCTTGATGATAATAAGCTTCATTGACAAAGACAAGAAGACTAAAGCTTCCCGGGAAAGACATGAAAACAAACGAGCGAACTAAGAGGCATACCCAAGGTAATCTTCCAAATGTTGACCTTGTTGTCAGAATGCTTTGGAATTTCGGTCCACATATAAGAGAACGTGGACATGAAAATTAAAGATCGTAGTGATGAATCCAGACAACTCCAGTATTCTCTAATTTTTTCTATGGATCCCAGTCATAGGAATTCCGACAAAAAAAAACAAGCAATTAAATCGAAGGTCGTTTTTGTAGCAGCAAACACATAATGCATTCATTAGGCCGCGTCCATAGTTTGCGATCTTGTGATTCTGCGTTTTTGTAATTTTTCATGCGGCAGATATTCATCGAAGCACAATCATAGAACTTCACGGTTGAATTTGTTACTTTCCAATCGCACACTTTCCATCGACAACCAAGACCAACTGCGAGATCGCTCACATCACCGGGTACTGCTGCTTTACCAAAACCACATCAACAATCAGGTTGCTCATATTGTTGGCTTTTAAGACGAAGTATTTTTTTTTCAAGAAGTCATCGCGTATGAAGCGTGAAGCGGCTGCGTTGCTCAAAAACACTTCGCTGAACATTTGCTCCGATTGTTTTTTTTTTTTAATATCAACACTAACACGAAAAATTTAGCCCCTTTTTGAAAACAAACACTTCCAAAAAAAGATGTCAAAGCAAGATTTTTACCTTGAAAATCGAAAATATGGAAATGCCAAACGCTCATAATATTAGGCTGCCCCATAATTAGTGAACTTTTGACCATTTTTCGATTTTGAATTTTTTGTTGTTATTTCTCTGGGGTGCTTGACCTTCCAAACGTACTCCCGTACTATCTTCAAAATACTGTCTACGCATTAGAAGCTAGTCGCTGCCTTTCCTCTAAAATTCCATGTTGTGTTCGAAGAGGGTCGGTTTTGACCGTGTCATTTAGCATAAATCTTACTTTCCAGAAAAGCGCTGGAGATCAGGTGATCGTTATTTGGAACGTGGTTGGGGTTACACGGCTAAACTGAAAGAACTGTCAGCCCGAGAGTCTAATTTTTTATAAGAAAAGGGGGCGGTCTCAAGGATATGCACCCTTTGCATTGTTCAGTTTTGAATTTGAAGGCGTCGCCATCAAGCTGTTAACGTTGTCTTTATCATACCTTGGTATTATTATGTTACGGTTCTGAGTGCAAATTATACCTATCCCATATTCTGCCAACAACATAAAAGGATTTTGTGGAGGTTGGGCTCTGCTAGCAGTCAGAAATCGTTTGAGCTACGCATCTGCAGCTTACCTATTTGTTAGAATACTACACACAGTCAACAACACCGAAGAGTATGCCAGATGATCAATCAAGGAACCATGGAAAATCAACAGGGACATGGCGATGTCAAAGCGTGCTTGAGCATGTGAGATACAAACTCCACATTTTCGAATCTTCACCACATTATGGCGACGTCTCAGTATGTCACCTTGTCACATCAGAAGCGCTCTAGACAATAACAGCAGATCTGCATAGATTCTTTTCAAATGGAGTCAGGAAAAGCATCGAGATTGCCAATTACGGGGTTGTTGGGGTGTGGATCATCTACAAATAAAAAGCGAACTTGAAATAGAGTGAACCACTGGATGGGTGGATTAAGGTAGCGTGACCTAGCCTATCCTTGAGTGATCCTCCATGTTGCTTGCACATGAAAGATCATAATGGTAGTGATGACGGAGGAAACTCAGAAATAGGTTCTCCAGAAGATGTAATAGCCTCGGAAGGAAATGTGTAAATGGTCCGACTCAGGTCAATTGCTCGAGTGTTGGTGCTACTTCGCAAAACATCAAGCCCTCAAGTTTTTTCCAAAAGCTTTTGCAGCATAAATGTTAAGTGATTCACTCACTAACCTAAGGGAAAACCTAGTATATGTATCAGCTCAAGAAAGCGCGGAAATACACCTAGACACCATTTTCGCTTTCTCATTGATCACCCTCATTGAATAGACTTCTATTAAACACTTCTATTAAACTTTAGAAACAAAGCTAATTTTCCTGAATGCTTCATACCAGTGCGATCTGCCCTTTGCGATTTCCGCGGGAACGCTGAAGAATTGGATTCGCCGAAGCTTACATCG